GGAGTTCCCTTGCTCACCCCTTCCTGCTTCATCCTGCCCCACCTGCTCACCGTCACCCCAGGCTTGCTCACCCACTGCCTCTCCCCATCCCTTCACGCGTTTCCCTCTCCTGCACACAGCTGTCATTTCCTGTTCATCTGTGTTCTAACTTACTTCTCTGCTGTAACTTTCTGCTAACCTGTGTCCCCACGTCTGCCTAGTGCCCAGCTACTTGCCCGTGCCCCCAGTGCCCACCTGTTGAAATAAGAGCGGCGGGGCTGCGTCCCCAACACCCCGGCAGCTTGGCTAGCTCATGCCCGAAATAACAGCACACAAACTGTATTCATTTAAGAACTGCTTGGCCCATGAACTCTAGCCCTTACAGGCATATTAATTTAGCCCATTTCTAATAATGTGTGTAAGCACCCCAAGGTGCGCTTACCGGGAAGATTCTAGCCTAAGTTCATCGTGGATTGGAGCTGCCTGGGAGAGCAGAGCATGGCGTCTCCGGTCCCTCTGGAAGCAGAGCAGAGTCTGACCTCACTTCCTCTTCCGCCCAAAATTCTATTCTGTTTACGCCTCCCATCTATGTTCTAACCTATCAGGGCCAGCCAAGCAGTTTCTTTTATTGCTCAGCCAATGAAATCAACAGATTGATATGACACTCCCACATCACCCACCTGGATTCCATTCTATTAGTCTATGCTGCCTCTAATCACTGATTCCCTTATTAATCTCCTCCATCCCTCTTGCTCACCCGTGTCTCGTTCTGCGCGTGTGTGTCACCTCTTTTTCACACATTCCTCTTCCTGATCATCTGTGCTGCCTCTGGTCACACAGGTTCTCTCCTGTTCACCTGACCCACACATGCATATATGCATGCAAGCACACACACACACTACTGCACACGACACACATATGCACATACACCATGGCACACTCATAGGTCCTTCAGCTCACCCATGTCACTCCTGCTCAATGTGTTCCCTTAAGCACAATTCTGCCCTTCCTGCTGACCCTTGAACCTCCAGCTTACCAGTGTCCACTCCCCCTCCCCTTTCCTGAGGACAGGTCAGCCAGTGCTCACACTGTCAACTATGGCTCATGTGATACAATCAGGCCTTCTTGTATTCCTTCATGTTTCCACCTCATCAGTCTGTCCTCTTGAATGGCCCATGTCACCTCCTCCACGCCTCTGTCCCCTCCTGTCAACCTTTGTCCCTCTCTATTTAACTAAATCCCATAATGATCACCTGTGCACCATCCTGATAACCGATCACCCCCTTTCTCTCCAGCCACCCCTCTTTCTCGCCTGCTCACCTAGACATCCTAATGCTTTCCTTTGTCCCCTCCTGCTTACTGCCGCTGGTGACAGTCTGCCTTCCCCTGCCTATCTCAGAAAGTCCTAGTGCTCCCTCTAGTGGCCACTCTGCTCATCCTAAGAGCGGTAACCTGGCTTCTGGTCAGCCAGGAACATGTAAAGGGGGCAATGCCTAAGGCCACCAGGTTATAGACTTACCCAGGCACATGTCCAGTCAGCAAAGTGGAATTAAGGGCCAGCCTCCATACAAGTACCTCACACTCAAATCAAACCTGAAAAATGCCAAATGCCCCTGACTCTGCCCCCAGGCTGTGCGGAACCAGCCGGAAATAAGTTGACCTACAGGGCTCTGCATTCTCTCTGTCTATGGATGAGCCTGCATAACCCCAGATGTGGCAGGAAATGAGATTGCATTCCTTTTATTCAGTGTGAGTTTTTCAGCTCTTCCCACCTTTTCTGGTTTGACCTTTGACCTTCCAGTCTCCAATTATTCCACACTGGTATTTTTTTTTATTTATTAGATATTAAAAAAATATCAATCCAAGTTCCTGGTGCCACTGTCAGTGGCCCCTCAGTCTGCCCCAGCCATACAACTGTCAACCCCATTCAGAGAAACTAGTTTGGTCCTATCCTTGTTCCTTCCCAGTCTGGCTGGAGTTGGTGTGCTCCCATCAGCTCAGGCAAACTGCTTCACTGGGTGAACCCATCATGGTCTTGAACTCCTTGCTCATATTCTCATTCCTTTCACTCTTCAATTGGACTTTGGGAACTCAGTCCAAGGCTCTGCCTGTGCCTCTATCAGTTGCTGGATGACGACTCTATGGCCACACTGATATTAATGGCAAGCCTCAACCAGTCTGGTTTTATGCCCTTTTGACTTGCATTATATGTATTATGTATAATTATATATTTAATAATTGTATACATAGTTATGTGTAATTGATATATTATGTGTACATATTATATGCAGTGTGCATAATTATTATATGTTTAATCTAGATAAGTTTATTTTCACACATTCCTTTATGTTCCTAGCTAGTTGTCTCATTTTCCTCCTGTAGTGAGATATGTCTAAGTTTCAGGGCTGTTTGAAGGCCTTTGACTGTCTAGAAGCTATAATAGAATTCCAGACATCAAATGACCTGTCCTAGAATGGCTCAGGACAGTATGGGGACCTCAAAGACCCTCCCTATAGTCTCTATGATGGATCTCTACTTCACCTGAGTTACACCTGAGTTACCACCAAAATCCGTGAGTAAGATAGGGCTGAATTACCCAAAAAGAACTCAGATTCTATGACCTCTGTAAAGCTTGTGACTCTCCAATAAAAAGCTGCTGCCATCTATGAACTGGATAACCTCAGGCTGAAGTGTGAAATCTTACAGATCAAGTTTAGGATATTGTCAATTGTCCCCACACAGAGATGCTATAGAGTAGTCGGGGTTAGAAACTGACCGTGGGCTATTGGGATAGCTGCCCTTGACCCTATACTTTCCAGTATCCAGAGGGATGCTGCCATGGACAGGTGACCCAAGAGCCTGCAGGCATGAGAGGAAGCACAGTACTGAACTTACAACTTTTTTTTAAATTTGTATACATTTTTATTGTTTTATAAATAATACCATTCAAAATTTCCACTTCCTCCCCTCCTCCCATTTCCCTCCTGCTCCCCAACTCATCTTCCCCCAACCCCCTCCAGTCCTAAGGTACTGGGATTTGTCTCTACTGCATGTACTGGCTTTTTGGGATCCTAGTCTATTTTTTTTTTTGGCTGGCACAGAACCAAAATTTAATTGATATGAGCCCCATTTCTTCTTTTTTTATTTTTATTTATTTATTTATTTATTAAATATTTATGTCTCTTCCCCACCTCCGCCTCCCCTTTCCCTCCCCCTCCCCCAATCAAAGTCCCCCTCCCTCGTCAGCCCAAAGAGCAATCAGGGTTCCCTGCCCTGTGTGAAGTCCAAGGACCACCCACCTCCATCCAGGTCTAGTAAGGTGAGCATCCAAGCTGCCTAGGCTCCCACAAAGCCAATAGGTGCAGTAGGATCAAAAACCCACTGCCATTGTTCTTGAGGTCTCAGTAGTCCTCCCTGTCCGCTATGTTCAGCGAGACCAGTTTTAACCCAGGCTTTTTCAGACCCAGGCCAGCTGGCCTTGGTGAGTTCCAGATAGAGCATCCCCATTGTCTCAGTGTGTGTGGGTGCACCCCTCGCGGTCCTGAGTTCCTTGCTCGTGCTCTCTCTCCTTCTGCTCCTGATTTGGACCTTGAGATTTCAGCAGCATTGTTTGTAATAGCCAGAACCTGGAAACAACCTAGATGCCCTTCAATTGAAGAATGGATGAAGAAAGTATGGAATATATACATATTAGAGTACTACTCAGCAGTAAAAAAACAAGGACTTCTTGAAGTTTGCAGGCAAATGGATGGAAATAGAAAACACTATCCTGAGTGAGGTAAGCCAGACCCAAAAAGAGGAACATGGGATGTACTCACTCATATTTGGTTTCCAGCCATAAATAAAGGACATTGAGCCTATAATTCGGGTTCTTAGAGAAGCTAAATAAGAAGGAGAACCCAAAGAAAAACATATAGGCATCCTCCTGAATATTAACCTTCATCAGGCGATGAAAGAAGACAGAGACAGAGATCCTAGTCTATTTGGATGAACTTACAACTCTTCCAGCCGCTCTTTAAACGTTCTTAGTGGTTGATATGGGCCCTGAGCGCCCCCGTGTGGTCTCAGAGGGGCTGTGCATATACTAATCATCCCGGCCCAGTTCTCCAGAGCTTGCTGAGCATCACAGGTGCAAATCCAGTGACCCTGACAGAAATGAAAATATTCTCAAGAGAAGCTTGAGTTTTTCCATCTGAAAACAATAGACCCCAAAGAAATGGAAATTTCCCCAGGATCTTGCACCAGTGGAAGGAAAATGCACCAGCTGGAGAGGAAACTTCCACAGAATTCTCACAACTCCTCAGGCCACCTCATAGGAAAGACTGAAGCCACAGCTTGAGCAGGACTGCTTAAATGTGCATACTCTTGGCCCTCTATGGAAGCCTGCATCTCACTTCAGATGACTGGGTAGTCTCTGAAGCCCAATGTGGCCACACTAAAGAAATCTCCTTTCCCCACTATTAGTTTGGCTATTTCAGTTGGCTTATTGAAAATGGGCGGGCGGACCTGATAGTTTATGGAAACGGGTAAACAAACCTGGCTTGGGGCACAGGCTGAGTTCAGTATCACGAGTCTGTCCTGAAACTAGAAGCACACAGCTGACCTCAAAGGTCCCCCCCGCCCCGTACAAACTTGAGTCTGAGTCACCCTAGAAACACCCCTCTGCTAACACACACTCACACACTCACATGGCATTTGCTGTGGTTTATTGTTGTTGATTAGACTTTGGACAGAACCTCCTAACAGGTGCACAGACAGAATCAAGCTTGAATTCTCCCTCCCCTTCTGAATCTCTAGTCCCCCAGAGAACACTGCCAGAGGATAAGGCAGATGAAGCAGGCTGTTTGTGATGGGACAGGATGGAAGGGTGGGCAGGCAGGAGTCAGAAGCCTGGAATCTGACCCTAGAGTGGACACTCCTCCTCTTGGATCTTTGGCAGCATTCTGCCCTTTCTTGTCAAGGCCTGCAGCAGAGGAGCACATCCCCTGACTCCGGAGACTTCTGGGCAGGTGCTGCTATGCTCACTGAAGGAACGAACTCCTGTTCTCGTTCACCTGAGGATGAAGGGATGGGAGGACACATCAGGCTTACACTGCAGTCATCCCAGCACTGAGGCAGGAGGATAGCGATTGTAGGTCATCTATGACCACACAGCAGAAGTCTACAACAAAACAAACAAAGAAAAACAACTAACCTGTTGGGGTGGCACAGGAACTCGAGGCTGCAATAGAAAACACAATCATGTCAGGAGCCCGCATTCCTACTGGGAAGGGTATGCAAATGAGCTCTGAGGGTGGGCACCATGACTGGCCACCTGGAGCCCCTCAGAAAAAGGGACTGCACATCCCATGTTGGCAAGATGGCCATAGGGACATCTTTATGGCTCAGCCCATTGTGGTCCATGTAGTCCGACCTGAGATCCCCTCATTTAGTGACACATCTGCCAGTTGGGAGAGAGGGACTAGCCACCTGTCTGCTGCGGGACAGCACTAAAGACCACAGTCACAGCTGCCTCCATCACATGTCCCAGATAATCTCTCACATTTCCCCCTCCCTCCCGACCTTCTGAGGTTTGCTTCCAAGTCACTGCACCCATGCTAAGCTCCATCTTGATGTCATGCATGACCTTATCAGTCCCTAGCATCAGAAAGTCCCCTGCCTCACAAGAGAAAAGGTCCCTCTGCTTCTTTTTACCTGTGACACAGCTCCCCCGAGTCCCGTTGGCCACATGACAACGAGACAGGAAAGATGGGCTGCCTTATGGACCTGAGCACTGGCTTCAGAGTCCACAGGATTCCCTGGCCCACCTCTCCTTAGCTGAGCATCCCTGAGCCCGTGGCTTCAGCTCTGAGTCTCCTTGGCACATTCTCTGTGTGTATCAGTGTGTGGATGCACCTATGTGTTTGAGTGTGTCTGTGCTTATGTGAGTGTGTGAGTTTGTGTATGTGCATGTGTGTGTGAAAGTATGTTAGTGTTTTTATATGTGTGAGCTTATGAGTTTGCCAGAATGTGTGAGTGAATGTATGTATGTGAGTGTGTGTTTGTGTGTGCTCACTTGTGTAACAGACAGAGGTTAAGGTCAGAAGAAACTTGGATGAGTTGTCCTCTCCTTCTACCAAAGGGTTCTAGGGATCAAGCCCAGGACATCAGTGTGGACAGCACGTGGTTTACCCACTGTGCCATCTTGCCAACCTGTGAAATATCCGAATGGTGCTAAAATGGCTGTAAAAGAAGCCATGGTAGAAGTTGGAGAATTTCAGTCAAATATGACATCATTTGAGAATATTCTCCAAACAGATGAAGTGTGCAAGGGGACAGAATGATGACAAGGTCTCACCGACACAGCCCAGGAGCACCCTGAGGACATATCACAATTCTTAACACATGAGTAATTCAGCCAGGCCACAGCTTCTTCTGCCAACAGCCACCATCCCGCTGGGTTGGAACCAGCCACATTCCTTGTTGGGTCAGCCGAGTCCAGGATCACAGGGCTACAGAGCAACATTCAGAGAAGGAACTGACCAGCTGTCTGATACCCTAGGTACCACTGCACAGGGACAGGGGAGGAGCCCAGCAGAACACCCCTATTCGTCCTGAGTCCTTGCCCGACAGCGTAGAGCAAGCCTGGAGGTGCCCACGACCTGGAAAGCCTGGGCTCTAATCCTCTACTGGTTAGCAACTGTGTCCTGGGACAGGTTCCTCAGCCTCTATATCTGTAAGATGGACAGAGTTCAACCAGTTCGTCTCAAAGGATGAGGTATAAGGGCTGAACACAACACAGGATCAAGACATGTGACAAGTTTTGTTTGGAGTTCATTAGTCCAGCACCAGTCTTCTGAGTCCCACAACCCTGATGACTTCTAATACAGCTGGAACATCTCAGTTCCCGCTCCATGTACTCCCCTCCCTCTGCTGTCTGGGTCTGGACAGGGTCAAAGCCTTGTTCTGCAGACAGGAGAGCCCACCCCGGCCTCCAAGTGATGGTGGCCCTCATGTCAATAAGGAGACAGCCTGGCACAGTGACAGGACACGGAGCTCCGATCTCCCCATTTCCACTGCTACAGTCTGGGTTTTCATGCTGAGGAGCTGAGTCATGAAGGGATCGGCCTACCTGGCTCTTGTGAGCTGTCTTTGCAGGTATTTAGAGATGTCTTGATCTTGAAAGTCATAATATTGTCCAGTAGATTTGAAGCTCCCTGTGCTTGGTGACCAGTTCCAAGACTGTCTGGAAGCCCTGGGCTGTGTTGAACTCAGTGTCTCCACTCTCTTGTTCCCAGGCGTAGACTGTGAGCAGCTCCAGGGCATACTGTGGGGGCAGCGGCTTCCTCAGCTTCTCCTTACACTGAGAAGAGAAAGGCAGTGAGAAGAAAAGGGCTGACAGTTGTTGTGTGGGGATCACTTCTCTTGGGGTCAGTTCAGTTGCCACCTGATGTTGTCCTTACAGGTTTACTGACACACAGTCATACCTGTTCACGTAGATTAAGCCTATGGATGCTCCCATGCTATAGCCAAGGGCTGAGTGGTTGACACGCAGACCATGTGGTCCACAGAGACTGAGCATTTCCCAGCAGACACAGGAGGAATCGTGACAATGTGAGTGACAGCTAGGGACTGGGGGTGGGGTGGGATAGTAATGATGTTCACTATTGACGGCTCTATCACAGGCTCTGAAATTTTATAGGAATTCACAGTCGGGAGATAAATTTTTATAAGTGTTGGAATCTTTTAACTTTGAGACTTCTAAGGCTGTATTGTATAATTTGATATTAACGTGAGATCTTAGGGATAATTAAGGAAGGAAAGGTTATGGTTTAATAGTGGCTCTTTGTGTATCAACTTGAAAAGCAGTCGATTGTGCTGATTAGTTTTGGTCAACTAGACATCTAGTAGGAGGTAACCTTAATCAAAAAATGCCTCCCTCAGACTGAGTTAGGGTAGCCTGTGGGGATATGTTCCTGATTAGTGATTGGTGTAGATGGGTCATGCCTGGGCAGGTGACCCTTGACTGTGTATGAATGCAAGCTGTGTGAGCCATGGAGAGCAAGGCAGTGTGAGCAGAGTTCCCCCATGGGCTCTGTTTCAATTATTGACTTCTTCCCTCAGTGATGAACTGTGACTGGGATGTGTAACCAAATAAGACCTTTCCTTCCAAGTGGCGTTTTGTTATGTGATAAAAAAAAATCACGTCAACAGAAAGCAAACTAGAATACTCCTTCTTTTCCCTGGTTGTATTCACTCCCTGCAAAGATAGAGCTCACGGTAGCTGGACGAGATGCCATACCAGTTGGTATCAGTGTTTGATCAGGCAGATGAGACTCTTCAGCTTGGTCAGACGATGCTTCAGGAAGTTTCTCTGAAGTTCTGTGAAGCAGGTGGAGAACTCACCCTCCTTGCCCAGGAATGTGCACTTCCTGATGAGCCGTCTGTAGATCTCAGGGTCGGGCTTGCAGTAGATGCTGACATGGCCTGTAATGGAGGCTTCACTTAGATAACACCCCAGCCCTTCTCTGGGGTTCTTTGGTCTCTCTAAGGGGAACAAGCTCACTGGCTGTGGGGTTCAGGAAACAGGGCAGAGTTTTACCATAGCAAGCATCCATGTGTCTTCCCTCACCTCAGGACAGCATTCACTTGCAAAGATCCTGCCACCAACCTGTCCTAGTGCAGACCCTTCCTCACAGGTCTGGAGATGGTGGTGGCAGAAAATAGCACACTGTGGCCACACACAAGAGGGCTGCATGGTCATGTAATGATGGCCAGCCATGCTCTGGTGTCCAGTATCCTCTGCATGGGACTTGTCATGTGTGTACACTCCTGCTTGTGTCAGAGTTGACTGTGGAGCAGTGTGCTGTGTTTTCTATCGTGTATCTCATGCTTACAGAGTCTCTGCCCTATGTGTGTATGTATTGCGTGTGTGTGTTCATGAGACATTATACACCTATGTTTGGAAACAAGAGGGGATACTGGGTGTCTTCCTTTATACTTTATATCCTTCTCCCTTAGAGGCAGGGTCTCTCTGTGAATGTGGAGCTTGGCTGGCATCCACCAAGTCTTAGAGATTATCCCTATCTCTGTCCCCCATGTGTGGTACTCCCTAAGTTTGGGTAAGTGCAGCAACTGCCTTATCCACTGAGCCACCTTTCCAGCCACTGTGTGATTTTACTTAGTGCCTAACTTATTATCATGTAGTTTTGATTGACCAGGTCCTAAGAACAATAAGATATGGCGGTGTGTGTGTGTGTGTGTGTGTGAGAGAGAGAGAGAGAGAGAGAGAGAGAGAGAGAGAGAGAGAGAATGGATGGAAGGACTATGTGAGGAAGGCGGGGGTCTAAAGGAAGAGGAACAAGAGTGGGTCTTGAGGGAAGACAAAACGGCACATTTTCTCTCATGTGGAATCCAGACACGAAATCAGAGGGGGATTCTCTGGGGGAGGTCAGCGTGGTAGCAAAGGATGGTAGTGGGCCGAGGAGACTGTGAGAAATTAACACAGTGCTATGACTCTATTGTCCTGGTCCTCATCATTGGCATTGCTATTGGTGGAATATGTTCACATACATCACATACTTGGAAGAAAACCGCCTTGTGTAATATAAAATAACATAGAAGTCATAGCGCAACAGAAAAGGTTTAGTAAAATGACATTAACGTGTGAAACAAAGTATTTTAACAAGAAGGACTCCTGCTGAGAACCACGTGAGCACCAGCCACTGTGGAGTGGTCATTAGAAAATGTCATATCTAAGGGTGGAGAGGTGGCTCGGTAGTTAAAAGCACCTGCTGTTCTTACAGCTGTCCCCAGCTCAGAGACCAGCACCCGCACAGACCAGATCACAACCACCTGTTCAACTCCAGCTAACAGGATGTAACACCCGCTCTTTAACCCTGAGGGCACCGCACAAACACAGGCACAGTGTCCGTCCACAAAATTAAAAAATAAAAACAACTAAAAATAGAAAAGAAAAGAACTTTATTTCTGTAGCCTTCATAGTAAATTAGGTACTGATGAAGTCCGAGAGCCAGAACCAGGCTCAGTCAGGGTCCATCAGTTCAGTCACCCAGCATGTGGGGTCTTGGTCTGTCCCTGTCACATTTGACTTAGTCTTCAATTCCTGTGCCATTACAGGAGGAGAGAACCCTGGGCAAGGAGATGGTAATCCACTCATCCAAGGTCACTCAGCAGGGCAAATATTGGGTCCCTTGATCCACTACTCTCCAGAAAACTGCTTCCCTGAGCCTCGCCTCAGTTTCCCCGACTCTGAAACGGATGTGGCCTGGGAGGGTGAAACACAAACTGTAGCTGAGATTTCCTAACATGGACGTGGGACCTGCGGGCAGAACCCATTGCACAGCTGTGATTGGAAGTGAAGACACGGGATCAGGGCTCCAGTCTGGCTCCTGAGGGTCCTCTCCCACTCCTTCTGGGTCAGTTCAGGCTGAGGGGGACTCACCTTCACCACCTTGGAGACCCTTACAGGGTGGGTGGCGCCTTGGAAGCATCTCTCCTTCAGAAAAGTACACATGACATCGATGACGGCTCTGACATAATTACAGAAGCTGGTGTCGGGAAGAAGGTGGTCCTATATGAAACTGTCCTGGAAGAACTTAACCCTTGGTAGGAACAGACCAGCTTGGCAGGAAGTGGTCGGCCTTCCAATAAACGGCTCTTTTCTTTCAGGGACACAATACAGTATGTTAAAATTCCTCTTGAGGGGAGATTCAGCTCCACGGGCTGAGGGCTGGGGGCGGGGGTCAGGTACGGAGGTAGCAGCTGAGGCAGGAGGTGGTGCTGGAGGCGAGAAGCTCCCGCATGGACCAATCCTGTGTCCTAGGCCACAACCCTGCTCCCCCAGCCCCTCCCCCCCAATGAGAAGAGGCTGGCCAGATGGCGTAGGTGGCTGGGTGGAGGGGACCGACCATGTGGAGCCCCCTGGAGCTGAGATCAGGATGTTCAGCTTCATGAGGGACAAGAAGCCTGAAGATCCCATGTTCCTGATGGACCCCTTCGCAATTCACGTCAGCATATGCGCCACATGTTGTCAAGCGGCTTTGGATATAGCCCCTTTCTCAGCATCACGGATGGTAACACGCCAGCAACCAGATCTGCCAGCCACAGGACGCAGGCTGGGGCTGTCTCTCCCTTTGGGATGCTGGGAATGTCTGGTGGCTTCATGGACTTGTTTGGGATGTGAATGACATGATCGGGAACAGTAACACGTGGCCGCGGGAGGCAACTGCCAGGCCTTTTCTTCATCTACTGCCATCTATTCCAGCACTGGGGGTGGAGCCCTGAAAGTTTACCAGGAGACTTCTGAGATGCACTCTGCCCCAGGCGGGATCCAGGAGACAAGGAGGACCGTCTGGGAGTCTAGACAGTGGTCTAGAGCAGATGTCTATCAGCCATCACATTCAGGACAGGGCTCACATCCTCCAGCGCTCCCGAAATCACCACACAGGGGATCAGGAAGAACACCAGGACTACATCCATCAACCTGGGTGAAAGTGAGGCCTCAGCCTTTGATTGTAACATGAAGGCCTGCTTGTTAGGGTTTCTGTCCTCCCACCAGGTCCCACAGTCGGCAGGCCCCAAAGAAAATCACACAGAGATCTCCATAAGTTATAAAACTGATTGGCTCATTAGCTCAGGCTACTTATTAGCTCTTATAGCTTATATTAACCCATTATTCTTATCTATGTTGGCCACATGGCTTTCCGCTGGGCAGGTTACATCTTGCTTCTCAGTGGTCTGGGCTGGAATGGAGGAATGGGCTTCCTCCTTCCCAGAATTCTGTTCTCATCACCCTGCCTCTACTTCCTGTCTGGTTGACCTGCCTATGCTTCCTGCCTGGCCAATCAGTGTTTATTTAAAACATGATTGACAGAATACAGACAATTCTCCCACACCATTTGATGATGAATGGCAAAGGGAGACATCCCGATTCAGGCAGCAGTGTCCTCTGGGATTTCCATGGCATGAGGCATCTGCAGGTGGACGACGAGGGGGCCAGGGGCCTCCCCGCCTGGCTATCCAGTGACCTGAGGACTCCCCCTCCCGACAGTCCCTTTGCTATAACTGATGAAGGCCCCAGGCTCTCAGTCTCTTTTGTACAGGCTGAGAGGCTGAGAAATCATTCCGTGAAATAACCTTGTCCTTCCCAACTTCACCCCAATTTAATATTAAATTAACAGGCAAGCTGGCCCCCACCTCTCCCTGGGGGTCTCAGGGAGAACCTTTTACTGCCCCTTACCAACTTTTTCCATCTTTTCTCCCCTCACCATGATGACCCCATCTTGTATCCACTAACTAGTTTTCATTTTACTGCTCCATCTCCGAGCCGCCTCATCTTCCTTGAACCCCTGCCACGCATTGAAGGTTTTGGGGTGCAAGCTCTGGGTTTAGGGACCTTTGCCCACCTCTTCTTCAGAGCCCCACTGCAGATGCCATCGTCCTGTGAGGGCTGTGGAGGGAGCGGACTATTCCCAATTCTACGTCCCTTCTCCCACCCCACATCACAAAAAGACTCTTTTCTGTACCCTTCTCTGTCTTTACAAAAATAAATGATTTGTTAAACTTGTAAGTAGGTGTTTATAGAATAAAGGAGAATGGAAAAAATTTTTTTAATCCTCTTGAGGAACCAAGGGTGTCATACACACCTGCAACCAATCCAAGCATTCTAGAGGTGAAGGTGGGGGGTCAGGAGTTCAGAGCTAGCCTAGACTACATGGGAAGTTCAGGGCTGTCCTGGACTATATGAGACCCTGTCGAGAGAGGCGGGCAGATTTTTCTAGATGTATTTATCTGGCTTTAGGGACATTGAGAATGTGGAATATGGGTCTATCAGTGAAGGCTCCCTGTGCAATGGGAGGTGGTAGAACACACAGGTGGTACTGGACGGTCTGTGCAATAATCCTTAGTTGCTGCCCCTGTGTTGAGCACTGGGCTGGGAGTCTGGAGGCCCAGCTCCCTCCTATTCCTTGAGTCTTTGTTTTCTCAGCTGTTTGATAAATTAATGAATTGAACAGGCCCCCACTCGAGTCTTGTTTCGAGGTGGGGAGTTGTGTGTGTTGGGGGTTATATGTATGTATACATGTTTATATGTCTGTACATGTGTGTAACTGGTGGTCAGAGGTCGACAATAGTGTCTTTCTTTATTGCACTCTACTTATTTTTTGAGGCAAGGTCTCTCGGTGAACCTGGAGCTCATTGATCACCAGGGCTTCTCTCCTCCTCCCTCCCCAGTGCTCAGACTATAATCCCACACCACCACGCCCAGCTTTACTCTGTGTGTGTGTGCGTGCGTGTGTGTGTGATATGGGCGGAGCATTGTACCATGACATGCATGTGCAGCTCAGGGGAACACTATGTGGAGTCTGTTCTCTCTTTACACTTTCGTGTTGTTCCGGGGATTGAAATCAGGTCTCCAGGCTCATGCAACAGGAACCTTTATCCACTGGCCCACAATTGAATCTTCACATAGGTTCTGGGGATCTGAACTCTGGTCCTCATGTTGCCAGGCAGGCTCTTTACTGACTGAACCATCTTCCCAGATCCTGGGATCTCAGTATACTTGGTTCCATGGTTGTTGGTACTTCTCCAAAGATGGGAGTGTGGGGACGAAGGTATGCCCTCTGTTTGGTGGGCTCCCACAACCTGGCTTCTAAGAAGATGGTGGACTGGGTTTCTTGAGCCAATCTGCCTGTACTCAGGATGAAATCAATCAAATAGCACAGCATCTCTGCTGAGTTCCTTCACTGCACCCCGATAAATTTCTTGTGATCCCCAAGCCAATACATATCCTGGTAGGAAGGCAGAAGAAACTTCTAGAAACCACCAAGGAAGAGAAGCAGGACAGCCACTTTCTTGGATATTCCTACTTTATTTTTGGCTACATCAGTGCAAAGTAAAGGCAGTGGGCATCGTGCATGCGCCCAGGGGCGCGTGTTCTACCTAGAGGGGGTGTGGGGGGAGGGTCAGGGGCATCAGGGCGCTTCGAGCAGGCTGCATTCCGAGTCCAGAGCCAGAACCAGCATCAGGCTTGGGCGACACAGCCAGCATGCTTTCTCCTAAGGGCGACCATGACAGGGAAGTGGGCAGAGCATGGGGACTGCGGGGACTAAACAGAGTCATTTCAGGGTAACACAAGAGTCCCTCAGGAACAGCACAAGTCACTGGGTGGGTAGGGGAATCCCAAGAAGACATTGGAAGAAATAAGCAAGACTGAGTTGGGAATGAGAGTTTTTAGTCTTAGTCTGACGGCCTCAGTGGGGTGTGGTAGGGCTTTGGACGCCGATGGGGAAAGACTATCAAAGTGGGAAAAACTAGACTTTCTTCTGGTGCGTGGATGATGGCCTGACTCCACATTCCTCTTGATTTGTGACAGACCAAGAGGGTTCTGTCCCGATTAGAGTTCTTGTTATTTGATCGCCCCCAGGAACCTTGGGGAAGAGAGACAGAGAACAGCAGGGCTCTGGGTGGGAGAGGGGGGCAATGCGTCTGTTCGTTGCTGAAGAGTAGAAAAAGGGGTGAAATGTGTAGCCTGGGAGGTCACCTCAGATCCAGAGCTCTGTGCCACCTGTGCCCATTTGGGGGGCCAGGGATGAGAAAGAGATCCTGGAACTCAAGGTGTCTATAGTGCTGGAGGAGGCTGCCATGCACCCAGGCTGTGCCCGCTGCAGCCCCCAGGCCGAGGACAGCCAGGCATGCCAATGGAAAATGTGACTTCGGGGTTGTAGAGCCAGGTTTATTCAGCTTGTGAGGTTGCTGACAACGCTGGCAATGGACACAGGGAGGAGAGGGGAGGCTCTGCCTCGCATCCCGCACTGTGGAGGGGAGAGGAGAAGAGAGGCAGTAGGGCAGGAGGGTGGGTGAGGGGCATTGGTAGGCTGGAAGGTGAGCAGGGAGGAAGGAGGTGCAAGGAGAGAGAGCAGGGGAGGTTAGGAAGGTTAGGTTAGCTTCTTAGGAAGCAGCTGGGCATCTTCCTGGAAGAGGGGTACAGACCCTCTGTGTATTCTGTATGTCTATTTCCTGGTATGTTTAAAAGTCGGGGTGGGTCTGTTTGTTCTTGGGGTGTCTTGAGGGGGGGTCAGAGGCAGTCTCGATGCACAATTTCTGTCCCTGTGCTGGTCCCTACAGTCTGTGGGTCTGCCAATGCCCAAAGTGACATGTAGACAGGACACAGGGAATGACCTTGTATGGGTTCAAGGTCAGATCTCCCCACTCCCACCACCCTACCCTAGGGACCAGAGAGGGCTCACATACAGACCCTGCAGCTCAGGGAGCAGGTCTTTGGCAGCAATATGAAGTGGGAGAGACATCAAAGACTCAAGGGTAACAAGGAAGGCTCTGAGAGGGGAGAGCAACTAGAGTGGAGAAGGGGCACTGGGGCACTAGGTCCTAATCACTTGACACGTGGTTCTCGTTCTGCAGTTGGTGCCAACGTTCAATCTTCTTGTCCTTGTTCTTCAGACATTCATACCAATGTTTCAAGCGCTCACCCTTGGCTGAGATCCCCAGCTGGCAGCCTCCTGGGGATGAGCAGAGAAGGAAGGGGGGGGCAGGTCAGTGGAGAGGGACTGTGGCCACTCATGTCCCTTGACTCAAGAGTATAATTGTGAGAAAGATGGCCACCAAGCAGTGACATCCCCCAGCCTTGCCCACCCCTAAGAAGAAGTCTGTTACTATGTAACTCTCTGAACCTCAAGAACCTGCTATGGCTCTTTACTGCAGCACCAAGCCCCTGCGAATCTTTGCCCAGCTTCTACTTTATTTTTCTGCATGGTCTCCACACACTGGGCAGTCACTGTCGCTCCCCAAATGGTCGCTTTCACCCTGATCCCTGCCTGGAATCTCTCCCTGTGCCACACTTGGGATTGTCTATCCTTGGCATTTAAAAGGGCTGGTGAGGTTAAAGCTTTCATTGGGAACTTGCATAGAGATTGGGGGTAGGACTCTCTTGCTTCCTGCAGAGGGCACTCTCTGCTCTCCTGGGGTTTAGTTATTCTGCCATGGTGTGCACCTTTTCATGTAAAGGCACATCCAGGTGGGATCAAAGTCAGGACCCTGAGTCCCAGGCTAGCTCTAGCCTACAGAACTGCTGGCAGATGGGGTGGTGTGATCATGGTCTCCCCCATCCCTGTAAGACATCCTCTCTGTGGAAAGCCAGATGAGGGGGCTATCCGCAGAACCGGGGTACTCACCGATGTAATCATTAGATTTGCCGATGTCATAGTCCCATACTGAGATATCCAGGGACTTTTTGGCCAGGTCGCTGTGTTTGATGTCATAAAAAAATTCCTGTGAACAGGATAGCGAGGGCTAAGCAACAATCCCCAGAGCCTCCAACACAGGCAGCTAGGGAAGGAGACTGAGGAGTCCCTGGAGCAAGGCATTCTGGGAGCAAAGAATTCTTCCTACTGTCATCTCTTTCCAACAAGCACTCCTTAGGACAATAGATCCTGGAGACTCTGGCAGCTGGGACTGTTTGGTACTGGGACAGTCACTGGCCAAGAATGGTGAACTCGGCCCTTCTGGAGGCTTCCTGAGAGGGCACAGGACCTTACTTAGCATTTAGGGATTGAAAGAAGCCCAGACAGAGGTCTTTGTCTGAGTTTGCTTATGAGACAGGGACTCAGTTACCTCAGGCTGGCCTCAACTCAACTGTGTAGTCCAGGCTAGCCTTGAACTCATAGATTAGTCTCCTACCTCAGCCTCAGCCACCACTAAGCTTAACAATATGGTTTTTTTTAAAGCAACTTTCCTGCCAACTTGTAAAATTCAGACATGTTCATTATTCAGACAAACAAGGAAGGAAGCCATGATATCTACAGCTACCCAAGAACCCCTCTGTCAGTGGAAGCCATGACACATTATCCACAGCCACCCAAGAATGGCCACTGTCTTGGGGTTTGCCCATGTTCATTTATATTGATGTGTGATTTAAAAACAACAACAACAACAACAACAGCAATAAATCCTAAACCTAAAGTTTTTAGGTTTCCTCCTTTTACTCTGTAACCTATGTTAAAAACCAACTTAGCACATTTTCCAAAAATATTTCATGTGGATGAGATGGTTCATGTCTCTAACCCAAGCACTTGGAAGGCTGAGGCAAGAGGACCACCACAAGTTTAAGCCAGCTTTAGCTCAGAGTGACTTCTAGGCTAACCAGGAGTACCAAGCAAGACCTCGTCTCAAAAAAACACAAATGAACAAAGAAGGTTGTAAATGTCATCACTTTGAAAGTATATTCACGTGTTTATGTGTCTTTGCAAGCCATGGTTCATGTATAGAGGTCAGAGGACCACTGGTGCAAGTCTCCTACCATGTAAGTCTCAGAAAACAAACACAGACCATCAGGGCCCGTTCTCTCTGTGCCATCTCTCGGGGTCTACACCATCATGTTAATGGTAATATTTAGTGACTGTCCAGCTGTAACCTGGTCCCTCACAGATGAGTGTGTAAGCTGCCTCTAATTTTCAGTCATTAGAGGCACCACCTTTGGCATCCAGGGGGCAAGATCACTCCATCCATCCATGACAATCTACATAGGACAATTTCTAGGAAATGCATTTCTGATTGTGGTGGATACAGTGACGTCAGATGAACTATAAGTGATCTGGCTGCATGTCTCTAAAACTCAGAAGTGTGTACTATTGTTGCTTCAGAGAAAAGTCACTTCTGAGGCCAAGGGAGGAGAGAGATGATGGGATACTTATTCTTGTTTTGCTTTGTTTTGGGACAGTGTCTTGGGGTCTCGCTAGATAATCTAGGATGACCTTGAACTTCTGAACCTCCTGCCTTAGCCTCACTGGTCTGCCCCCACCCTCCAACTTAACTTTCTTATTTTTGGCTTGTCCAGATTCTGGGAGAGGGTAGGGCAAGCTGCAGTGTGGGTCTCCTGAGTAAGTGTTTGGATGCTGGTTTTCAAAACCCATCATACATCCCTCCCCCACTTACAAAGCGTGGTAGAAGCCAGTATTAGTAACTCAGAGGCAAGGCCAGGGGGAGAGCACAGGGGTGGTGGGACAGCCCAGACAGGGCAGGGTGGGACTCAGGGCTGAGGGTCCAGTTCAGCCCTGGTCTCCTTGCATCCCGAGAATATATTTTTCCCTTTGTTTGGGCTTTGAAATGGAGGCTGTCTAAGTAGGTGGGCTTACAGTTGCATTCCTTCATACTCCTTATTCAATCCTTTGCCGATGGGACAGACACCCGGCCCCCTCCTGCCTGGCTGGCTTATCAACATGTAATGGAGAAGCAGGGGTTTGGTGTGAGAGGGAGGGACAGAGGACTCCAGAAATATAGGAGAAAGCTTGTGGGGGGGAGGTCACACGTATTCTGTGTTTTGAGGCATGGATAGGAGGAGTTGGTCAGGGAGGAAAAGAGGCAGAGGGTGGTACAGCCACTTAAGAAGCCACTTGAATACATTCATATTCAAGTTTTCTGCTCTTATATGGAGCAGGTGTCAGGCCCAGAGGAGGGAGCAGGCATATACTGCAATGATTCAGGTATAACATCCCAGGGTCTGAGCCCAGATGGCGGCCTTGAGAACACAGGGGAGGGAGCATGTGTGAGTGGGACTTGAGGGAGGTGGCTGAGGGTGCCACTGATCTAATTCATGTTCACATGGCTCAGGAAAGACGCTGGGGGTGGCTTAGGTCAGCATCTGAAAACAGCTTCCTCCTGCAGAGTTCTCAAGCTGTGGGCTTTGCGGCAGGGAGTCCGTCCCCTTCCTTCGGACATAACTCAAGCTTATCGATAAAAAAAAAAATGCTCTTTTGAGGCAGTCAGGACTCTTCTGGAAGGGATTCAATCTTCTCTCACAGGTAGGAAGTCTCCACCAGTATGACAAAGACGGAGGCAGCCTTACCTCATTAAACTCGGGGTTCAGGGTTTTCTTTTTGATCTGAGTCTTGTGCTTGGCTTTCTTCCCCATGTCTGGTTTCAGCCAGCTGGGAAGAGACAACCATGTGTCAGAAAGTGACCCAACACTGGTGACACCTTGGACGGTGGGGGCCCTGCTCTGAGCCTCTCATGGCATTCTGTGGCTCAGTGCTGTCTGCTGGCTTCCTGTGACCTCAGGGGAGAGTTTAAACTCCTCCCAAGGCCCCATTGTCCATGTGGCTGGGTCCCAGCTCCACCCTAGCCCTCTCTCTCATCATGCTCTTACCGCCCCTCCCTCATCCTCCTCTCCACCCCACGGCCTTTGCACACAACACTGTTTCCTCCACCCAGGAAGCTCTTTCTCAGAGTTGGGCACAGTGCCTAGCACACAGTAGGTGCTCAACCAGTAGCTTATGGGTGTAAACAAGTACTTTGGCAGGGGGACAGGGATTGGCAGACATTAATGATCAGAAAGGCTGATGAAGCTGATGAACATTCCACTAACCAAGTCTGCTTATACTCTTATGGTATTTTCTATAGGAGTGAGCATAAAGGGCTAAAGCCCTCTCAGGGTGGGGACATCTGACTCCAGCGGTCACCAGGGGAGCAGATTTGACAGTATTGCTAGAATAATCCCAAGTTTGAGATATTTTGGGTCTTTCTTTCTTTCTTTCTTTTTTCCTCTCTTTTCTTTTTTGTTTGTTTGTTTAGTTGGTTGGTTGGTTTTTCAAGACAGGGTTTCTCTGTGTAACAGTCCTGGCTGTCCTGGGACTCACTTTGTAGACCAGGCTGGCCTTGAACTCACTGAGATCTGCCTGCCTCTGCCTCCCAAGTGCTGAGATTAAAAGCATGTGACACCACCACCCAGATATTTTGGGTGTTTCTATAGTGGATTTGAATGAAACCACATTGCTTCTTTGATGGTGGAAATCTGAGCTAGTGGGGACATAGGCAGCTAACTCCTGGGTCATAAGTGGGATCACTATGTCAGCCACTCTAGGAAGGGGCAGGTACAAGGGTTCCCATGTGGCAGGCATCACACTGGTTGACTTCCTGATGCTCAGTTTCAGTCTGTGCTGGGCATGCTTTAGCTGTTGTGTGACCTAGGGCAGACTCTTTCCCTCTCTGGGCTTCAGTGGTTAATAGTGGGGTGTCTCTTGTCTTCATCCTCTCCCTCCCAGGGGACCCAAATCCTCTCTCATCTCCCTGGGGTGCTGCCCAACTCACAGCTTGACGAAGGGGTCTGAGTAGCCGTTGGCGTCCATGGCGGCCAGGTGCACACAGCGGATAATGCCCACGATGAGGCCGCCCTGCTGTGTGCTATACATGAGGGACACCAGGATCTTGCCACGTTCCTCTATGTCGCCAATTCGCTCCACCTGCTGCATGTGGTAAAAGGCAGTACAGGGCTCAGAAAGGTGGGAGATGTGGGTAATGGTGGGAGACTGCTGTGGAGGGCAGAGGGCGACAGCCTGCTAAGGGGTCGGTCAGCACCATGGACAGCGGGTATGTCTCTCGGCACAGCAGTGTGCCCCAGGCTAGGCTCTCCAATGTTCATTGGGCCAGAGCTCAGCTTGAGTCAGATGGGGGCAGAACCCAAACTTGGATCATTCATTGGAGCTGGGCTCCATCCTAGTCACTGACCTTGACAGATGCTGACCCTGACCCCTGACCTGACTGGCCTCATGTCCCTACAAAGGGATGAGCATGCCATTGCTCTCATCTGTAGAGCCAGCAGCAGAAGCTGTGTGAAGTAGGTTCCAGAACATGGGTGTGCGAGAATAGGGACCGTCCCCTCTTCCTATAGCCCAATCCTGCGGATGAAGGACACCCCCCCCCATGAGCCAGTAGGTCACTTTGTGGATAGAGAGAGAGGAGGACATGAGAGGAAGAAGAGAGAAAAGCGGCCCCTGGTGGTCTCAGCAGAACCCTCTGGCTTCCCTCCGACAGTCAGCTCACCTCCTCCTCATAGAGTGCCATGCCACGGGCTGACCCTGTGGTCCCTGCACGCTTCATCTGTGGGAGGAGACAGGACGAGAAGGTAACCTTGGGGGCTCATCCCCCTGCCCAAGGAGGGCCCAGAGCCAGGAAGGTAGGCTGTGCACCCCAACACTCTCCCGTTCACTGATGTTTACACAGCATTAACTGTCAAGATGGGAGCAGCAGCTGTGTTTGCGTTTTACTGCATTCCCCAATTTACAGAAGGCGACACTAAAGGTCAGAGAGGACCAGAAGACGGTCCAAGTGTCAGAGCACCCACACATAAACCGCAAGTCTTCATTCGCTTGGGCTGTGTAGTTCAGAGCTCTCGGGATCCGGCCTATCAGATGTTTCTCCTGAGTGGCCCTGGGGCCCTTCTGATGGATCCTAAGGCTCTGAGAAGCAGGGTTGTGAGCTACAGATTAAACTCACTCCCACCCTATGGAGATGAGGACAGCTGAGAGGAGGGGACGGCATTGATGAGGCCCCTGTCCTTAGTGCAGCACAGTGAGGTGACTCCTCAGACACCTGCCTGCCTGGCTACCTTCATGTCTTGGGACAGCCATGTCCACTTTAGCAAGACAGACATACTCAGAAGCCGGTGGTGATAAAGGCACAAACTTAACCATTGTTCTGAGCAGCTGGATTCATTGAGTAAGAAAAAAAAAAGCCAGAACCACCAGCTGCCACCAGACAGGGTCCCAAAGAGACACCTCGTGCCCAGAACTGGCTTTCACGACTTGTTCTGTGTGAGCCAGAGTTGGCTGTAGAAGCACAGCCCAGTGCCCAGTAACACACCCTTTCCCAGCCACCAGGTGCACCTCCCACCCTGAAGCTTCCTCTCTGCTTCTTGGGTGACGTTGGCCATTTGCTTCCCCCACCCTAAGTCCCCTCACCTCCGCCTGGTGCTCTGCCCCACAGCCCCTGCCTGAGCCCACACAGCACAGCAGGAAGGTGGCAGTTCCCAGCTCACCGGGATCACCCGCTCCAGGCAGATGTTGAAGTTTTTCCTCTGGTTAGCCTTCAGCTTCTTGAGTGAGAACCTGGTCTCGCCGATGAACTCATTGTGGCCGAACTTGTCCTCATCACACACGGAGATCCTGCCATGGGCCAGAGAGAAAGAGCAATAGACACTGAGCCCCCCCATGTACCTGGGTGATGGGCACTGGGAGCAGCCTCAGTTTCCCTGCAGTCGGGTGAGGGACTTAGTTCACAGCCTGAGGGGTCTACGCATCTCATGATCCCATATAGCCATTGCTCACATAAGAGCTAGAACATTCCAATGCCAGAGATCCTCAGTCAGGGTCCTTCCCTAGACCCTTCCTTACCCTAAGAGACCCATCCACTCTTGCCTGCAAGGGGCCATGAGCCTGCACTTGATCCTGTGTAAATGTGACCACACAGTGCACACCACCTTTACTGAGACACATACATACAATGTAGCCCAGGGTAGGATTTGCGATGTAGCCCAGGCTAGATTCAAATTCACTATGCAATCCAGGCTGGCCTCGGCCCTTCCAAGTGCTGGGATGACAGCCACACAACCCTGCCTGCTTATCTACCCTTCTCTGTTGCTTCTTCAGCACCATGCCTGTGAATCTCAGCTATGCATGCACATAACTGTGGGTTCTGCATCCAAATACATCCAGGGACAAAACCCCTCAGTGTGTACTGAGCTTGCGCAGATGGCTAGCACGGCTGCCTGGACAACATAGGCTGACAGCCGTGTGTATCTAGACACGTTAGGCCCCTGCATTCACGGTTCCTGCTGGAGTCCCACCCTCCACCGCCACCTGTAGCCACCTGAGTGTCTTTCTCTGCATGTCCTCCTCTGTGATGCCATGGTACTGCAGCGTCTCATTCCACACAGGGTTCCGCGTGTTGCGTAGGGTCTTTGTACGAAGTTTGTTGGACTAGAGACCGAAGAAACAGACGACAGACAGGCACCCATCAGTAGAGACAACCTGGAGACCCTCCTCAAACATCCCCTTAAGTGAGAAAGCACAGGCAACTTCCATGGAGATAGACATGGCTTATGGCAGAAATGACACCACTCCTTCTGAGGCAGGGACATGGGGATGTTTCCCGAGTCCACAGGCAGTGTCCTCCATGCCTGCAAGCTCTCAGAGGGGAGATGCAGACCCCTGGGCTGCTGTCTACCTTGCTGGCACCAGGCAGCAGGTGCAGCTTCACATAGGGATCCGCTAAGCCATTGGAGTCCATGGGCTTCAGTCCCTGCAAAAGAAGGAGGCAGCACAAGATGGTCAGCCTCAACAGGGGATAGCATCTCTCGCAGCAGTGGGGACAGAACAGAGGGATGCTGTATCATGAGGATAACGTGGGGCATCCGGTACAGAGTTTAACAACATAGCACTCCCTAGCTGTGCGGCCCCTCTGAGCCTCTTTCCATGCTGTTGAGTGGAGGAGTGGGGCAGGTTTTAGCACAGTTGCCCTTGGGTGTTGTAAAAGGGATGGAGAGGACATTCCAGCATAAATACCAGAGAGGAGTTGCTGGGGACAGAGACCCTCCTGAATCCAGGGCCTGACCCCTGCCTTCATTTGAGGCCTCAATTTTCCCCCCACTTGAAGGATGAGGCTCACACTGTCTGTCCCTCCAAGACCAGGAGAAAGTGGTTTTAGCATCATTTGCTGAGATGAGTTGAGTAACCCTCAAGGTTCTGCATCTCAGATACTGTCCACCCACCCAGGCTAGGTAGGAATCCTGTGACCTCAACTTGCTCGTCTGATTGATGGGGCCAACAGTATTCACAGCTCTGTGGGGTTCAGGGAGTAAAGAACCAAATCTTGCCTTTGAAAATGAGCCTCATATATTTGGGGTGTAACCCCAGGCATTAGCTTTCTGCCTCAGTTTCCCCACCTAACTAATGGGGCAAATAAAAATGCTTCCCTCACTCGGTCACCAAAATAGAAGGGAAGAGAGTAGTATCCACCTGATCACTCACTGTAGAGTCCAGTACACAGTAGGAGCTCACTCACTGTAGTGTCGAGTATATAGTAGGGGCCCAGTATGGGCATGCTCCCCAAAATGGCTTAGGCTTGGGTGGGCCAATGCAGGAGTTTCTTTAAGCATGGTGGTTCTTGTTTATCCTCCAAACTGGGGCATTTGGGGAGTGAAAAGAGGGTCGTGTCGTGTCCACCACAGGCCAGCAGGCACAGAGAGGGGACTGTCCTAGACACCCACAAACTGCCAGCCACTTTGCATTCGGTTTGTCCAGCCTTTCTTGAAGGAAGGACACCATTGTCTCTTCCACTAAGTCAGAGAGGGTCGGCTACTTTCTCAAGTAACACAGCAAAGTGTCCTGGGCCAGCAGTCACTCCGGGGGACTCTGGTCCAGATCTTGCTAGTTTTTTCCTGGGGTCCCAGACTTAAGTTCAGCCCGGGTCCCTCAAGGTCTGGAATTCATTCAGTTCACATTCCAATGCAGCCTGCTGCTGCGGCACCTTCCTCTGCTGTGGCACCTCCCTCTGCTGCTGCAGCACCTCCCTCTGCTGCAGCACAAAAGCATCTTTTAGTATCCACAGCCAAAGTTCCCACCTCACTGCTGCCCCTGGCGGACGATGACATCAGCAGAAAATGCAGAGTCACCAAGTCTTGGTGGCACTTGCAGCATCCCCTCTGTGCGTTGTGGGTGGCCTAAGTGACCCTCACAGTCAAGCAGCCTCCCACTCTCAGGAAGCAGCCACAGGACCATCCCCAGAGGAAGAAGTCTGCCATGGCTGATGACAACCCTGTTCACATCTTGTCATTGCCACTGGTCAGTGACAATGGGAGCTGGGCCTGGGACTCATCCCTCGTCTCTTAGGAAACCAGAGCATCCCCAGGGATCCCCACACACCTTTGCCCTGATGATGGTACACTGCAGGTTGCTGTTTTCCTGGTCATAGAGGAGGCTGAATTCCAGGGCACCCAGTGTGGCTGCAAGCAACAGAGACAGAAGCCAAGAAAACATTTGTTTAGTCAATCCATAAATATTTCCTGGGTGCTTACCAATGTGTCCAGCCTCAGCTAGGTACTGGGACCACAGGAGAGAGGGCGGGCCAGGCCCTGATCTCATACTCTGTCCTGGTCGGCCTGTTTCCTGGGAGTCTTCTGCAATTATCTCTGTGTGTGTTTGAATAGTGACTTCCTCCCCTGCCAGATTGAGAGTGCCCTGAGGATAAGGGTTATGGCTCTTGATTGACTACCATGTCCCTACTGTGTGCAAGGCACATAATAGGTACTCCTGTGTACGCTGAAGGAACAAATGGATGTCAGTGTTTGCTGTTCCTCCTGCTGGGAATGCTCTGTCTTCACACTCACTTGGCTCACGGCCTCAGGCTCTACAGCTTGGCTCAAAATCACTTCCTATGGAGGAAGCCTTTCCTGATTGTGTCCTCAAAGCAGCCACTGGTGACATCACTCAGCATGCAAAGAGCTCCTTCATAGTTTGACTCTGTTTCCCCTGTGGCCTTTTTGTCCCAATGTCCTAGCACCTGGAGCAGTTGAGGAGCCTGGAGTGAGGCCAATAAATCCTTGTAGATGACAAAGATGAGCAGGTGAAAAACAGAGAGAAGTCAAGCCGGCTGAAACCAGCTCTGCAATTGAGCTCGTGCCAGGGCAGCCTGGAGGCTGGGAGAGGTCACACTCTGGAAACTGAGGACGGAAGAGCATCCAGACAAGGATGGAGGAGGGCAGATATGGAATATGCCAGGGATGGCAAGGCAGGTGGGCTCCTCTCTCCCTTCCCTGAGACCACAGACCCCTGACTCTAGAGAGCCTCTGAGTCAAAGGGGACACCTGCTCTATCCTAAAGTGCGGCCTTCGAGTGACTGGAACCCTGTGATGGGCTGCCAGTCCCTCCATTCTCTGGCTACGCTGGCTAGTTTTCTGTCAACCTGACACAAGCTAGAGTCATTTGGGAAGAGGGAGCCTCAGTTGAGAAAATGAGCCCACCAGACTGACCTATGGGACACTTTTTGATTGAGGGGGAGGACCCAGCCCTTGTAGGTGATGTCACCCCTGAGCTGGTGGTCCTGGGCTCTATAAGAAAACAGGTTGAGCAAGCCAGTAGCACCCCATCCATGGTCTCTGCATCAGCTACTGCCTCCAGGCTCCTGCCCTGCTTGAGTTCCTGTCCTGATGGACTACAAGCTGTAAGCTGAAATAAACCTTTCTTCCTCCAGCTGCTTTCGCCATAGTGTTTGTCACAGGAATAGGAACCCTAACTAAATGACCGTCTCTGAGTCACAGGGACCCTTTCTAAGACTATATGCAGAATGAGAGGGGAGAATGCCCCATTCCCACTCACTAGGGACAGGAAGAAGGGAGTGTGGCTGGCCGTGGTGGGAAGGGAGGCCCACCTGGATCTCCGCTCCACCAGCGCCCACTCTCCTGCCTCCACCCCTTCTATTGTTGACACTGCTGCCATTTCTCATGTGTGCTCATCACAACACCATCATGGCAGTGTCCAGTTCACCAAGCACTGTCCCTGAGGGGCCTCAGTTTACCCTCCCATGAGCCTACACAGAAAGCAATATGGGCTAGGTGTCGGAACCAGGTCCCCCCACCTCCCAATAGCATCCACAGGCTGTCTTGGCTGCTTCAGCCATAGCTGATGGGGGGAAAAACACTCTGAGGGATCTGTCTGTCTGTCTGTCTGTCTGTCTGTCTGTCTGTCTGTCTGTCTGTCTGTCTGTCTTTCCCTGGGCCTCTAGGTCTGAGTTTAAGAGGGACACAATATGCGCCTACTGAATCACTGAGTGATCTTGCAGTAATCCTACTCCTGAGAAAAAAATGACGGCAGATGATAGACACACTGCAGGAACTCATGCCTGTTTGGGGGGGGTTGTGGGATACCAGATAATTCTGTTTGGTAGGTTGCTATGTGGGTAGAACCTCAAGAAACCCCACAAGAGGCTTAAAATGACTCAACGAGCTGCACCCTTGTGTTTTAGTTCAATAAGATATACGGTACCAATACTGACCACACGGTGGCGCTCAGCAGTCGTTCCAGCACTGGGAAGCAGAGGGCAGTAGCCCTTTCCCAGCACATGCAAGGCCCTGAACCACAGAATTTTTGAGGGTCCACATGTCAACCGTGAGGGTGCGTCTATTGAATCCAGAACCCCATTCCCGCCCCATCCCAAGCTCAGTTTCGGGGTGACTTTTCCCAGCATGCTTCCTCCCCTCACCCCCCCCCCAGCCACCTACTTGCTTCATCCGAGTCATAGCTATTGGCTTCCTCCTCTTCCTCTGCGGGTGGCGGCTGACGGGCAGGGGCCGCCTGGGAATAGGGGCCTGTAGTGTGGGGAGCTGACGGGAAGCCCCCTGCGGGTCCTGTCCTCTCCTCCCGGGCTGGGGCGACAGCCCCTGGATAACCAGAGTCGCTTGGAGTGGCCTCTGTGGGGACAAGAGAGAGAGAAGAGGGAGTATTGAGTTTGTGTCACAGCAATGCAGCTGGAGGAAGCTTCCAGAATGCAGGTCCCCAGGCCGCACTCAGAATCAGGGGTCTTGGAATCTGCATGGGATAGTCAAGCCCCAGGACTGATTTGGATAAAAGCAAGCCAGACCCCAGGGAGGTCAGTCAGCTGTGAGGATTCAGCCGGATGACATCGACCTTAACCTCAGCTGTGGGATGTAGGACCAGTTCCTTAACGTCTCTGAGCCTTAAGGTTCCTTAGTTGTAGAACTGGAGTTACTGAACCCAAAGGTGCTTCTCTGGCAGTCAGTATTAGTTGCATTAAACAATGAAGGTCCATGGAAAGAAAATGGTTACCTTGTAACCATGACAACCAGGCACCTGAGGCTTGTATGTGGGTCATGGAATAAGCAGTTTGCTTATGATGAGCCAAACACAAATCAGCCTTCACAAAAAGATTTTTTTTTTAATTGGTTTTGGTTGGTTGGTTGGTTGGTTTTGGGTTTTTTGTTTTAACTATTTTTTTTTTCTGTTTTAGTTTGTTTAATCTCCCCAACAGGATTGTGAAGGAAGTCCTAGCCTGACTCACACTTCATAAAAAAACAAACAAACCAACAAAATGAAGCTCAGAGAGGTTTAGTCATTGGCCAGGAGTAACACAGTAGGAAGTGAAGGACCAGGCGGAAGTGAAGGACTCTGAGCCGCAGGAGCTGGCTTGTGGGTGTGGACAGTTCAGGGGTTGAGAAAGTGGGCTGCTTAGGCCTCCTCAGACAGGTCTTGGGGGTACAGACTGAGTAAATGTGTTTTCTGAGAGGGTAGTTCACACTTGCCTGTGTTTTGCCCAGGAGCAGCCCTGCTGCCCCCAAGGGGCCCTGCAAGGGGAGGGAAAGAGGGTGGGGATGAGGAAATACTTCAGTGTCTGTCCCAGCCCCACCCCTTCACAGTGGACAGGATACTCCAACCAACCACCCCTCTGCCACAGTCTTGCCCTAAGCACAGGGCCCCCTTCACCCCAGGGTCTAAAAAGAGCTCATGGCTCAGCCTGTTTCAGTCCTGCAGGGTGATGGAACTGAGGTCACTGCTAGGGGACACCAGGGCACATGGTGGCTGCATGGCAGATACCTGGCTGCACAGGTTGAGCAGGTGCCGGACTTGACATTGAAGGCGGGGCAGGGCGGGAGGCCTGCACTGAGTTAGCCCGCCTCAGACCTGCAGGACAAAGAGGGAGAAGCATAAAGCACACGTACACATGCACACACACACACGCACATACACAAATACATGGGGCTCCATGGAAGGCTCCCTTTCTCTGGTCCCTCTGTTTTCTCCTTGGTGCCCAGACCCTCTGGGTGAATCTCAGTGGCTGCAGTTATTTAAAGCACAGGGTAGCTGGGCCAAGGGTACAGGCCAAGGGTACAGGCCTGTCGTCTCCACCTCTCAGGTGGCAGAGACAGAAAGCTTACAGATTTGAGGCCCACCTGGGACACAGAGTGAGTTCCAGACCAGAACCGACCTCAAAACAAAACATTAAAACGGGCCTGTGGGCATGGATCAGTGTAGCGTGCTTACTTAGAACCTGCCCCCAATGTGCCGACAATGGGATTAAACGAGATGACAGAAGCAGAGTTTAATCATAAGATCAGTGCAGAGCAGCACATGGTACAGGAGTTAGTGTTACTAATGGACCATTCCCCTGCACACCTTAGACAGCCTGCATTCAAGCAGGAATCCTGGAACAGGCTGGAACAGGCTGGGAACGGAGCGAGAGTGCTGAGATTACAGAGGGGCTCAAGAGCCATTTGTAGCAAAGAGTCATGTGCCAGGTAGCAGCTTGGGGAAGCTGACCTGGGCAGTGGTGTGTGCTAGGGCTGTGTCCTTCCATCTGGGAACTCAGGGAGGGGGCAGTGAAGTCAGCTCAGCATGGGGTAGGTGGTGCTAGGAGCTTTCCAGATAAGGGGACATGGATGTTGATTGTATGGGTGTGCATGCGTGTATACTCGTGTGTACATGTATATACTTCCACCTGTGGGGAATGCATGTGGAGGCCAGAGGTCAACACTGGGTACCTCCCTCTACCATTCCCCACTTTATTTTTTGGGGAGGTTCCCCCTGAACCCAGATCGCTGCATCTCAGGTGACTGAGCAGTAAACCCCATGATCTGCTTGTCTCTGCCCCACCCGTTCCTGAACTGGGGTTACAGTCACATCACAGGTGTGTACCACCATACTGTACATCTGATATTGACTCTGGAGGGACTTTGTGTGGTCAGGGACATCCTGATGCTGTCTTTTCCTTCAGGGGGTTGAACAACACATGAAAAGCACTAACTACATCTAGAAAAGTCAACTGAAATGCTCCAAACGTACACACGTGCACACTCACACTCAATGCACACCCACATGCACATACCTGCACATGTGTTTACACACAGACAAGTACACACACATGCATACTCTTACACACGCACACACATGCACAGGCACACACATACAAGCTAAAGTATCAGACTCAGAGAAAACACAAAGGACAAACTTCAGGCCACAGCTTCTTGGATGTGACACTCAAAGTAGAGGAAGTAAAAGGGAACAGACCAGTTGGACTTCATCAAAACTGAATCCCTAAAAGTCAAGTGACTCTATCCACAAAGAGACCAAGTGAGCCATGGGGGGAGTGGGGTAGAAGCCATTTACAAATGACACAGTGACAAAGGGTTGGCATCCTGGGTATAAAGAACACCAGTAGAGTCCAGTCAAAAACATGGGACAAGGGCCAAGCCTGACATTTCTGTGGAGAATCCAAGTGGGAAAAGCTGGGTACTACCAACTTTTAGGGAAATGCCAATCAAATCTATAGCACCTCTATGAGATACTGACTCATACCCATGGGAGTAGGTAGTATTTAAAAACCAACCAACAGCCAAGTGTGGTGGCGCACACCATTAATCTGTCCAAGGGACTAGTAGACAACCTGAAAAAGGGAGGACCAGCCTAACAGATGCTTGAGCATGGTGTACCTTGAAGGTGTGGCACTCAGTGAAGTGAGAAAGATACAAGGGTGAATAATATGTGATCCCACCTAAATGTGTCAAGTTTCCATGCATAAGAAGAAGAGGACTGGATATTCTGGAGTAGGGAAGAGGTCAAAGAGAAGCTATGGTTTTATGGATACAACAGTCTCATCTTGAGATGAGAGAATGTTCTGGTGGTGGGTGGTGGTGATGGTAACATAACACCATGTGTGCCTGATGCCGCCAAACTGGACATGAAGAATGGCTAAAATAGTAAATTGCGTATAATAAATATGGACTGTGTGTTTCACAAAATCAAAAGGCCTGGCCCATATAAGCTTCACCTCTGGAAGAGAAAAGAGATTGAGAGTTCAGGTTTAATTCTTATTTTTCACTCATTGTCAGCTATGCGGTGAAGCGGCAGCAGAGCCTTTCCGAGTCTAATTTTTCCATCTGTGGAGTTGGGATGCTGAAAGCCTCACACCTGTGTGTTGGGGCTGTGGCAAGGAGTCACCACGATCTCCTGGTAGAAGAGCTCTGGGAAGCATCTGATACACGTAGGTGCTCCGTAGATGTACTCTGGTGGTCAGACTCAGACATCCATCCTTTGTCCATCTGCACCCTGGATTTACCAGCAGGTATGGGCAGCAGATGGGAGGAGCCCACGTCTGTTGTCGGGAAGGAGGGAACTGAAGCACTAAGCAAACTGTTGGGCTGAAATGTCCCCGCCAAAATGTCCCCAGAGTCTCATGCGTTGAGCACCTGAGCTCCAGCTGGTGGTGCATTCTGGGAAGTGGGGAAACTTAAGGAGGTGGAGTCTCACTGGAGGAAACTGTCCACTTCCTGACCACTGCTGTTTGAGCTGCTCAGCCACACCCTCCTCTTCTATAAGAGACTGAGCCCTCTGAAGCTGAGAGCTAAATTCATCTTTCCTCTTTTTAGGTTATGTCCTTTGTCCTGTCATAGTGATAAGGGAGCTAAAACCCATAGTTTAGGATGTGAATGCTGAGCAGACAGGAATGGGGGTGCATACCTGTAATCCCAGTGCTTGGGGAGTGGGGCTGAGACAGGAGGATCATTAGTTCAAAGTCATCCTGGGCTTACAGTAAGGTAACTCCTCTCTTTCTTTTCCTCTTCCTCTTTCTCTCTCTCTCTCTCTCTCCCTCCCTCTCCCTCTTTTTCTTTGTTAGGGGTTGGGTACCAGAGACCACTTTAGGTCCTGAACACTCAGCCACCACAGTGAGACCCACATCAGAAACAAAACATGATATACAGCAGGCACTCAATAAAGACAGCACATGCCTACCTTGCTCACCTGCTGGGCTCCGGCTGGCATCTCCAGCACCCCCACCGTGACCATGCTCCCAGCCCTCAGAATCCCGGGCAGTTGTACTCATTCGTGCCTCAGAGGCCCTGCGCATGGGAGGCCCATGGCTTCCTCGCCCAGGGGCAGAGGGGAGATCGGGGCCTGCAAGGAAAGGGATGGCTGAAAACAGAGAGAAGGAAGTGATAGGGTGAGGTGGAAGACAGTTGGCAGAACTCACCTGGCTTCTGACCTGGGGCCCTCCTCTCCTCCATGTCACCTGAAAAGAGAGAGAGAGAAATGATGCAGAGAGCTAGTTTTCTGGTGTTTGTAGAGGTCTTCACCTCAGAGCTACACAAGGGGACCACCCTGTGGCTGAAAAAAGTTTGGAAGCATTAAGTAAGTTTTCCCTCCAACCTCTCCCCTGAGCTTCTTCCTAGTGTCTCATTCCCTTATTGTAAGTGGAGACAAAAGCATAGACCAACAGAACAATAGCCATTTCTTCTGCCTAGACAGGCAGGTCTGTCCAACCTGTGACACCACAACATAGCATTGTTATCTGTGAATCCATGATCAAGCACCACACAGCCACATTACCAAAAAAAGACTAAAAATTCTGCTTCTGTTCTAAATAAATTTGCAGTTCTGTTTGTGCTGCATAACTACCCTGAGCTGCATGTGACCTGTGGGCTGTGGGCTGGACACTCAGAGAAAGGAAAGGGTGGTCCGGAGGAAGGATAGTTGGTAGGACTACACAGTCTTCAAGGACACAGTGGCTATTGATAACTTGGTTATTCTACAAGAAGTAGAAATGGCCCATGACACCCCGTAGAGAAAACCTTTGGCACCAGGCTCCATGACTCTGAGAAGCTGTCCTATGAGAGACCAGGTCAGGCACTTAGATTCGAGCCCTGTATCTCCAGCTCTCTTTTGAGAAATGATGTCCCAGCATTGCTGCTCCAGTTGATCTTACCATCCAGTGTTAATTGAGATTATTATAAGGGCTTCGTCTGTCCAGTCTAAGTGGTACTGTCCAATGAAAATGCAATTTTATGGAGTCATTTTTCTCCCTATTTGCCTCTCTCTCTTTTAATGAACACTTTAATTATTAATAACTATACTCAGATAACAGCCATGATATTAATAGTGCTGGTAATTTCCCTTTGCTAATTTCATTTCTATTCATCTTTCACTTTTAATTAGTCCAGTTGCAGAATTGTTTACAGTCAATAGAAGAAACAAAAGTGAAAATCAAGCATGGTATAGGACACCTATAACGCCAGCACTTGAGAGGTAGAGGCAGGAGGTTAAGGTTCAAGGTCACCAAATCCTCAGATAAAAAGGGAGTTCCAGAGTATCCTAGGCTACATAAGATTCTGCCCAAGAAGAAGAAAAAGAGAGAGGAGAGGGAAGAGGGAACAGAGAAGGAAGAGAGGGAGAAGAAAAATTAGGAGGGAGGAGAAGAAAGAAGACAAAACAGAGATGGAAGAGGAGGAAGGAACACAAGAGAACCAGGTAAGCCTTTTTAGCAGGTCCAAGTTCCACAGGTTCCATAGTATATTCAGGTGAGTGGGATACTCTCCCAATTACTAATTTTAATTTCTTATTTTGTGCTTTTCAATTTCCCATAAAGAAAGACAGCAAAGTACTTGGCAATCTGGCTTTTCTAGAAAGTTCCCTGTGCTACCCTCCCAAAAACAGGTTCATGGGAAACAACAAAGGTGCTAAGAAGTCCTAGACTAGAAACCAGAAATTGATTGGCAGCAATAACTTTCTAGGACACCTCCAGGTAGACCAGTAAGCCGGGACCTGTCCAAGGTTCTGGAAGGGGTTGGTTTTGTCCTACCTTGAGCTGGAGTTCGGGCTGTGTGCCTGGATTCAAGTGTAGGCTGTTCCGGGACAGCAGGCTCACCAGCAGCCTGCTGGGGCTTGGTCTTCTTTATAGGCATGGGCTGTGGAAGAACCTGTTTGGGAAAACCCTTGAAGAACCATGCTCCTGAGCGCTTCCAGACCTGGGAAGGAAAGAAGGCAGGTGTGGGAGACATGGCAGCCAACTGCCAGTTTTTATCTTTGTTCCCATAGCTCTTGGCCATGACAGTGGCCACATGCATTTGTTCCATGACCTGATGGTCATTTTATTGATAGAGAAAGTTGAATGTTTGCCATGTCAAGGATCAATCCAATAGCTCAGCGTCAGAGAGGGAAAGAGTGTGGGCTCAATGCCAATTCTCTCATCTTGTAACTAAAGCCTTGTACTTGATGTAACAAAGGTGGGAGGTGGGATGTACCTATAAGCCCCAATACTTAGAGTCAGGAGAATTAGGAATTCAGGTTTGAGGTTAACCTGGGCTACATGAGACCTTGCCTCAAAGGGACAAAACAAAACAGATGATCTAATCCCTGACAACTTCTTCAAGACCCCAAGCTTTTATCATGACTTCAGATTAGACAAGATGATATAGGGACATCTGGAAGATCCCCAATTCCCATCTTGCTATATGCTCTACAGGGTTACCCAGTATGGCACATAATAACAGGGCTCCCATAACTTTGGTTCTCTGACTTGTGTGGTCCAAGAGAACACCAGAGGAGTGTGCAGATGTGGAAAGGGGAGTCATGGTATATATCCCCTTGGCTCTCTCCCTACTGCTGGGTGGTGATAACCTCCTTCACCTTTCTTCCTGGTTACTGTGCCCTCCTCCCTCTTTCTATTCAGACCAGGAAGTGAATTCAGAGCCCTCCATCACTCATATTGGAAGGTCCCCTCCACTTTTGGTGTCTCCCACTCTGCCATGAATAGAACCTTCATCAAACCTTCTCTGTGTGTCCTGCTGTCCTGAGGCTGAAGGAAGAAAATGTGGCCATTAAAACAATCTCTCCAAGGCAAGAATCTGCAACTGGGGATGACTGGTAAAGAAACTGGGATGATTGGAGATAACGTCAATAACACAAAGCAGGTGTGGGCAAGAGAAGGATTCTAGAAGAAAATGGACAGAGAAAGGGGAAGGAGGATGGGGGAGGCAGAGGTTGAGGTAGGAATAAGAGAAGGAATCAAGAGTGAAGAGATAAACCATCATGGAGGAAGGGAGAGGGTGAGGAGCAGAAAGTAGGAGATGAGAAAGACAACAGGCAAGGAGGGAGAAAAGATGAGGGGAGTTCTGTAGAGATGGCTCAGTGGGCGGAGTACACACATGAGGACCTGACCTCAGATCTCTAGCACCCACGTAAAATCTGGGCAGTGTGCACCTGTCACTTCAGTGCTAAGGGATCCCAGGAGCCCACTGGTCAGCCAGTCTAGCTGGAGTCAAGAGCTCCAGGCTCAGTAAGAGACCTTGTCTCAAAATGCAGGGCAGAGACAATAGTGACAGACACTTGATGTTGACCTTGGATGCCACAAGTTCACATCTGGGCAAGCACACCATCACACAAGTGTGTATATACTTATGTCACACAGAGAGAAAGAGAGAGAGATTTGGGGGAAGGGAGACTCAGAAAGTGAGGGACTGGGATGGGGAGGGGAAAATCAGAGGGCGAAAAAAAAGAGACAAAAGAAAGAGAGGAGGGGGAAAAGGCCACTCTGGCACAGGAAGAGGCCTTGCCATTTCACCAGCTACTCATTACTTTTGTTTTTAGACTGTCTTAGGGGTTCAGGCTGGCCTCAGATCCACTATGCACTTGAGGATGACCTTGAACTCCTTCCTGATCCTCCTGCCCCCAACTCTCCAGTTCCAAGATTGCAGGTGTGCACCACCATGCCCAATTTAAGCCATGTTGGAATTTTAATCTGGGTCTTGTGTGTTAGGCAAACACTATCTACTGAACTAAACCCCCAGCTTTAGGCTGGTTCCTTTCCTACCAAACCTTTAAGACACAAGAACCAGGCCAAGCCCCAAGCTTCCAAATGCCATGGCACCCTCTCCCACCCTCATCTTACACATGCCACCCCCATCCTCACCTCCAGGCACAAGCCTGGCCACTCACCTCCCTCTGCTCAAGGCAGATCTTACACAGCCATACCGGATGTGGGCGGTTGTTGGAGGTCTTCACCCCACACTTGGTGCAGACATTCTGTGGACAAAACAGGCAGAGCGTACACAGATGAGGCCAGAGCACACACAAGTGAAGCCAGAGCACACGCAGATGAGGCCAGAGCACACGCAGGTGAGGCCAGAGTACACAGGTGAGGCCAGAGCGCACACAGGTGAGGCCAGAGCGCACGCAGGTGAGGACAGAGCACACGCAGGTGAGGACAGAGCACACGCAGGTGAGGACAGAGCACACGCAGGTGAGGACAGAGCACACGCAGGTGAGGCAGGCTTTGGGCTGTAGGAGACTAGGGACAGGTAAGGAGGAAGTTGGGGAGCAAAGGAGTTCAAAATCTCTTGGGGCGTGGAAAGAACTAGAGCCTTCCTCACTTCCTCCCAAGAGCAAGGCCAATTGGAATAGTTTCACTTTTGGTCTTGCTGCCAATGGCAAGAGCTGGATTCTTCCCCAAGTGTTGGAGAGGAGGTTTCTCAAAAAGTCCATCCTGTGGGGTCTGGGTTCTCACCCACCACATGGAGGAAGCCACTGGCATGATTCAGAAGAAAAGTCAGTATATTCTTTCTGTGTATTTGCTTTTTTCCTTTCCCAGAAGACTTGAGGCAATTTTAGCCATGACCACACGTCCACCCACTCCAGCAGACAAGCAATGTCTGAATAACAGCCAGACAACACAGGGATACTCTACTCTGGGATGAGCTTCCATTGTCTGAAGACAAACAGGAAAACCCAGAAGTGCATAAAATTGCCTATCAGCGTAACTGCTATAATGAATTATCTTTCAGACAAACTTTCCCCAATACTGTATTTGTTTTGTTTTGTTTTAGACAGGTTTTTCTGTATTGCCCTGGCTGTCCTGGAACTCACTCTGTACACCAGGCTGGCCTTGAACTCACAGAGATCCACCTGCCTCTGCCTCCTGAGTGCTAGGACTAAAGACCTGAGCCACAACACCCAGCTAGCTCAATGCTGTACTCTATAAGCTGCTTCGACCACAGGGCGGGAGATGCCCAGTGGCATGATGGGTATCTCTAGCTAGGTGTATCACCGAATTCCTTGAGTGGGGTAAGGTGGATCAAAGACAGTCATGTCTCTGTTCTGGAGAGGGGGTCATGACAAGAACTCAGGGAGGGGCTTCTCTGCTTGGACAAATGCTCTTAAAATCCAAAGAATCCAAGTTGGCTGGAGAGAGGTTTTCTAAGTCTTTCTTTTAAAAATAAATTGTATTTTTTTTTTACTAGTGTACACTTTTGAGTGTGTGTGGCCAGAGGAGAACTCTGTGATGTTCCAGGGTTGAACTCAGGTCACTTGGCTTGTACGACAGGTGCCTTTACCTGCTGAGCCATCTTGCCTGCCTTTGCTAAGTCTCCTGCAGCTCGATGCATGTTAAGGGAACAAACATGCACGTGTGGGGTTATGCATGTGCATGCGCGCGCGCACACACACACACACACACACACACACACACACAGAGCATGCTCTTCAGACCACACATCTAACTTACGAACTAACCCATGGTCAGGATCCTCATGCCCCAGACTTCTGAGTTCATCCTACATAGACCTCAGCTCTAAGAGGGCATAAAGACCTTCCGTGGGAGGAACCAGACCCAAGCCGACCTTGGGAGACTGAGAATCCTGAGGGACTCACACCCTACAACTGTCCTTCAGAGGCCAAGCTCCATCCTTCAGACCCCAGGCCCCAGATCCACATCCAATCAGTCCAGATCCCTCTTCCCTATGCAGGTGTCTAGCAGGAAAGGAAGAAAGGAAGCGTGATACTGGTACCTTCTTACAGTCTTCACACACGACACAGGCAGAGCCCAGCATGCCCAGCTGCTCTCCACACAGAATGCAGCGGTTCACACCATCCCCGGCCACATTTTTTCTCATGTTTTCCAGACGGTCCACCAGGCGCCTGAAGCAGAGACAGGGCAGTAAGGACCCCCAGGACCCAAGCAGAGGAGGACCCTCCATCTCTGACTCTATGTTCTCAAGGATCTGACAGTGGCTGAGAAGCCTTCCCTGGAAAGGCCTTCCAGTGCCAGTACTTCCAGAATGTCTGAGCTTACTCCAAGTCCAGGCTCCTCAGTGGCCATCAGTGCTAATGGCTTTAGGTTCAAGCCTCTCTTAGCTCACAGCCTCCTCCAGGGATCGGCGCCCAGAGTTCTGAGCTGGTCTCAGGCATCTGGAACAAACGCTTTCAAACTAAGCATACTGCAAGCACCTGCCAAAATTCAGATCCCTGAAACAGGGGTCTGACGTGGATCTTTCTAGAAAACTCTGAAGCAATGCTGCTTAATGCTGCTGGCCCAGGTTCTGACCGGATAATGAAGCTATAGGTATAAACATCGAACCCGCAGCCCCGGAAGGTCTTCAGTCTCAAGTCCTCTCCCTGCCCTTTCCTCAGCTGGGTGAGATAAAAATTCCATGGTGTAGTCCTCTTTCATCAAGTGTGCAGCAGCAGTGGGCCTGGCTTCCTGAGAGCCCCACAATCATGAGGGAAAGCTACCGCATTTGACTGTGCACTGGGTCGCTAACACAGGACAGTCATATGCATTTCCTACTTAGGATGTTTGCAACGTACAATGAGTTTATCCTGCCACCACCCTGGCACACTGGAACGATCCTCTGTGCTCCTGTGCCCGTGTATTCAGTTCAGAAAACTGAAGCTAAGTTGCTTACGGGAGCGACTTAGCCAAAAGGCAGTGAGCGCTGAGATCAAGATCCAAGCAGTCTGTCCCAGGCCCTGTCCCTTACTGCCACACACAGAGCAACATGCCAAGCAGTCTGGGCTGGACTCTAGAGGAACCTCACCCTGACAGCCTTTCCCACACCAATGGCCTCTCAGTCATTGCTAAACCCTGGGCTGCACTAACGACCTCACCTGCTTCTGTGCCCTGTGACGGGGCAGGGTAGTCACACCTGCAATTCAAGCATCTGGGAGGCCAAGGCAGGAGGATTATGAGTGTAAGGACAGCCTGGGCTACTCAGTGAGTTCCAGGTCAGCCTGGATACATAGAGCTTGCCTTGCAAGTATAGGAACCTGAATTTAATTTCAAAATCCAAGTTAAAAAAAAATGTTGTGTGTGGGGTGCTCACCGGTAACCACAGTAGTGGCATGGGAGCCCCCTGGGGCTCAGTGGCCAGTCAGCCCAGCTGACTGTCTGGATCACAGAGTGGATTATCTCCTGGGGAATCATAGCCAATTGTCCTCGGGCCTCTGCACACATGTTAATGTGCACCTGTGCATACATGAAAAGAGAGGCAGAAAGACAGGGAAGCAGAAGAAAAGAGGAGGTGGGAAGAGGGAGAGAAAGACAGACTAACCACCCAAAAATCAAAGCCCCTTAGTGTAGGATCCTGGTATTAGGGTGTCAGCCCTCTCTGCTCTCTCACCCAGGAAACAGTGGTCACACCAGTGTGTACAAAACTCTGCTTTCTGGTGCCCTGAGGGTTCTGCAGGGCCAGCTGTGTGTGTGTCGGGGGGTGGAGAGGCAGGAGATTCAGAGAGCCCCACACCCCATCTCCTCTGAGCCAGCCCGAATTCATCTCTGTTAGTTGGGGCTGCTGGGTGAGGTTACATTTGCTAATCTGAAGGAGTCTGGAGCATGTGAACCAGCAAGGGTCTCCGCACAGCCAAACTGTACAGCGTGAAAGCAATGAGGACAGACGCGGGAGGGAGAAGGGACCGGATGCACGGTGACATTCTTCTTGTCGTGACTTCCTCTTCCACTGCTCTGGCCGGAAAATTCTACCCCCGCGCCTCAGTCCCCGCTCACTGTGACAGACAGCTGACAGAAGCAACTTAGCGGGAGGGGCCTTCACTTGGCTCACAGTTTCAGAGGGTCTCCGTCCATTATGGTGGAAAGAAGGGAGAGTTATTTAATCCACACTGAGGGAGCATGCGGAAGAGGCAGAGTACACCTGGGACCAGGGGTGGGATAATCTCCAAAGGTTGGTCCCTAGTGACCTCCTTCCTCCAGCAAAGCCCTATCTAGGGAAGTTCCACTGCCACTCCCAAAGAGCTCCCCTATCTGGGGGGCAAATATTCAACACAGGAGCCTGTCCAAGGGAGTGGTTCAGATTGAAGTGATAGGATATATCTATCATGGGGTCCCATGGCACAGAGAGGGTAAGAGGCTCACAAAGGTCACACAGCTACGGCCAATCTAATCTGCAACGTGCTTCACTGGGGAGCATTTTAGAGGGGTTTCCTGCTTTTCTTGGACAATAAGAACATTGATTGGCCCACTTGCAAGCCCGCATTGTAACTGCCCTGCCAGAATGCCTGATTCTTCCAACATGCTTGAAGGCCTGCTAGCCCATATGTCTAAAGCAGGTCTCCTGAGCATGCATTAGAGGTTGCCCAGGTCCTACACACTGAAATGTCCTGATGCCCCCAGCCCTTGTCACAGCAGTTAGGAGGAGGATATGAGGTGGCAGTTGGGCCTTTCTTCTCCCAGGTCTCAGGAGTGAGCAAGGCATCTCATATCCACCTGCACGGACACTCTCCACTCGGCCCCAAATGTGGCCTACTTGGAAGGCCCCTAGGGCCAGAGATTTCAAATCTAGAGATAAAATTTTGCAAGGGGCTAGGTCAGAGCCTTGCCCCGATGTGTGTCCAGCAGGTTCACAGCCCGCTGACAAAGCATTCTGCTCTTTCACGCCAGGACTCTTTGTTCTTACAGTCTCAGGGGAAGAGTTTGGGGCACACTGTGACCCCTCACTTCCTGTCAGCCACCCAGCTCTGTGACAAAGCTCTCATCATCAGGTTTTGGCTCCACCTCGGTGACCAGTCCAACTAAGGCTGGACATCCATATTCAATCATGCAGCCTTGAGCAAACGGTCCCCAAACCCATCTAGATCCTTTGGGGAGCACATTCAATGCTTAGAAGATGGTTCTGTGGGCTCAGAGCAAGATCCAGGAACCCACAGTTTTAAAGGGTTCCCTCTGTGCTCTGTACTGTTTGGAAGTTTGGCCATGTCTGAACTGTTTGGGGTTTTGTTTGTTTGTTTGTTTGTTTTTCTGGTTGTGGGAATAGAACCTAGGGCCTCATGCAGGCAAGGCTGATGCTCCACTCCCAAGCCTTGGGCAGACCAGCTCCAGTTCCCCCCCCCCCACCACCACCAAATGCTGCTTCAGAAGAGGTGGGGGGAACCTCATATGAACCCTTGCCTCAATCTGCTAAGTGGTAAAAGAGCCCCAAGCTAAAGTGCAGAATTCGTCAGGCCCTGAAAATGAGGTTGGGGTTGTTAGGAATACCTCTGTTGTGTGCATCAAAGAGAAAACAAAAGAAAAATCAGAACACTGGCAGCGACCATTGTCCCTGTCCCCCACAGGGAACATCCCTGATGGCTTCTCCTCTGCATTTTAACTCCTCACGGGGAGCACATGTCACCTTTCATTAGACAGGAAGAGACATCCCAGAGCTCGAGGGGCGCAGGCAAGATACTAAAGGGTGTGACCGGGGACCCTTCCTCTTAGCCAGTTACTGGCTGTGTTGGTGTTTTCTTAATTACAGCTAATTATTCAGCTCAAGCTGAGCAGAAATTGCAGATCCTTTACTCAAAAAATGCCGCACAAACAGCCCCATAGAGTCTGGAAGGGACTTGCAGACATCCCTGTGAAATCTCCCAAGCCCGGCTGCCCACCACTGTCTGCTTCTCTCTCAGCGATTCTTACGTCCAAGCTCCTGCAAAGGCTCATTAAGCCCTGAGCACTCCGTAGTTGTGCAAGCCCTGAGCTCTAAAATCATTTGTGATCCCCACCCCCAAGACCACAGGGTCAGGTTTGTCACAGGAGAGGCCCATGCTCCGGTACCAGTTTCTGTCCGAGCTAATTTTTGGCTGCTCTGATAAAGACCATGACCAAAAGCAGCTTGGGGTAGGAAAGGGCTTATTTGGCTTATAACTTACAATCTGTCACTGAGGGAAATCAGGGCAGGAACCCAGAGGTGGGAACTGAAGCAGAGACCATGGAGGGACACAGCTTGCTGGCTTGCCCCTTGGACTCATATTCAACAACCTTTCTCATGCTTCCCAGGATCACCACCCAGGGGATGGCACCATGGGCTGGACCCTCCCCATCAATCATCAATCAAGAAAATGCCCCACAGACTCACAAGTCAGTGTGATGAAGGCATTTTCTCAACTGAGAATCCACTTCCCAGGTGACTCTAGCTTGCATCAAAAACTAACCAGCCTAGTGACCTTGAATGACCTTGGCTTTCCTAGTACCATCTGCCTATCTTCTGCTGTAAGGGGGTCATGTTAGCTGCCCCTTAAACCTCCTAATGTGAGCAGTGCTCAGAGACCTGAAGTCCTAGAGCCCAAACACCCAGATGTCCCTTCGGTCCTTGAGGGAGCCTGATTTGATGGCTCTGTCTCTTTTCCACTCTATGCTCAAGCAATTAGCTGGTCACTGTAAGTAGCTGTCACTCTCTAGTTAGGTCTTTATATGCTTGATTAACTTTATGATGCCTGGTGCCATTCAGGACACATCCATCACTTGGAGGACTTGGGTGGGAACCTCCCCCATGCCCTAGGATGTACTTGGGAGCTCTGGAAGGGCTGTGTCCCTGTATCCTCCTTTCTGGATAGCAACATATGACCTCTCAAGATGGCATGAAGTGGATTATCACTGGCCAGATGTTGCTACCCCGGTTCAGGAAGATGAACATGGTGGCAACACTGTAACCTGCTCGGTACCCCAAACTGTGAGGAAAGGGGTAGTTATGATGCAAGTATGGGTACCAGTTTTGGCTTTGGCTCTGCCGCTTCCCAGCTCAGTGATGCCAGGTGAGTAATCTAGCCATTCTGAGCCTTAGCTCCTTGTCCTGTGACCTAGGGAGAACCAAGCCCTTCGCTCTGGGAATGTTATAGAGGTGAAATCATGTGTAGCATGCCTGGGTCAC